TAAGGGTGTTGCTTCCTTATATGCAAATGTGCTTTTGTTGTTTTTGTTGGTTGTCTAGAGCTGTTCATTTAAGTGAAGTATATAAGGTTTTCTGCTTCCTTATTAAGGAAATAGTTGCAGATTTATCGAGCAACTCAAGTATTCTGCTCAATTCTTTACTGGGTTGCAATTCTTTCTCTAAACTTGATTTGAACTATGGAGAGCTATCTTAAGAACAGCTAGTATTGGTTTGCTACACCATCCCGAAATTAGCAGCTTAAGATATTTTAAATAGAAATTTAATGAAGCATTGATAGAGGGCTGGAAGACGTACACATATTTATTTGATGAGTAAAGACTGAAGAATGATAGAAGGAGAAAAGTTGTTCATTTTTCAATTCATTGTTTGTTGATTGCGCAGACAGTTAGTTACATGGCAGAGCGAGTTGTGGGGACTGGTTCATTTGGGATTGTATTTCAGGTACTCGTATCTGTGAACGAATTTAATACTTGTTCTTTTTTATGTCATGTTTTAAATAAGCTTACATTGCCTCTTGTCATTGAACTTAGGCAAAATGCATTGAAACTGGAGAGACGGTGGCCATAAAAAAGGTTTTGCAAGACAGAAGATACAAGAACCGTGAACTGCAGTTAATGAAGACCATGGATCATCCAAATGTTGTTTCCTTGAAACATTGTTTTTATTCAACTACAGTTCAAGATGAGCTTTTCCTAAATTTAGTCATGGAGTATGTCCCGGTAACCATGTATCGTGCTCTGAAGAATTACAGTGATATGAACCAGAAAATGCCACTCCTCTATGTGAAACTTTACACCTACCAAGTAAGTGGCGTATTATGCTGTTTCTACTTTCGGAGGTTGATGTGTTCAAGATGATAAAATTAATACATCTTTTGTAGATCTTCAGGGGGTTGGCCTACATGCATTCTGTTGCTGGGGTGTGCCATAGGGACCTGAAGCCTCAGAATGTTTTGGTAAGCTTTTTGGATCATTCAATGATTCTGTGAGTTAAGGTGTCTCTTATTGATGTCACCTTGCACTTTTGATAGGTTGATCCGCAAACTCATCAGGTGAAAATATGTGATTTTGGAAGTGCCAAAGTATTAGTAAGTGATTCTCTTTTACGTTCTCTTCCTAGACGGAATACTTTGACATTGTTTTTTATGTTGTTTTTGGTAAATAGAGAAATAATAGCTCTCTATCTAACCGTATGTTATTTTTTTCTGAAACTGTGCTGCTAGTTCTGTATAATCTGCGTACACTAATGCATCACTAACTGTTTGTATTTGTTTTTATTTCTTTTTCCTTTTCATATTACAAAGGTGAGAGGGGAAGCAAACATATCATACATCTGCTCACGGTTTTATCGGGCTCCTGAGCTCATTTTCGGTGCAACAGAATACTCTACATCAATTGATATATGGTCGGCTGGCTGTGTCCTTGCTGAGCTTCTTCTAGGCCAGGTGAGTTGCCTCTTATTTCTACCATAGCTGAAGTACTTTCTTGTTTTCCATACATATATGATATACATACTTACTGACGTATTAATGCATTTTCTGTAGCCTTTGTTTCCTGGTGAAAATGCTGTTGGTCAGCTTGTGGAAATAATCAAGGTAAACCTCCATCGTTGTTTCTAGAACTGATGAATAAAATAATTCTAGTTATTCTTTTGACTTTATTTGTCTATTTTCTAGGTTCTTGGTACTCCAACCCGGGAGGAAATACGTTGCATGAATCCAAACTATACAGATTTTAGGTTTCCACAAATAAAGGCGCATCCTTGGCACAAGGTACTTTTACCACTTTATAGTTCTGTATGGTTGAGAGGGCATGTCATAATTCTTGCTGTTGTTGCCGCTAGTTACTTTGTTTTCAACATAATCTTTATATTGCTACTGTCTAGTCTTGTGATAACTGGAAATAATGCGATGTGTTAACTGAAAAAATGTGAGTTTATGGATAAAAAGTTAAATGCCACCGTTTAACCATAGTTACGAATCTCATTAGTATATATTTCCATGATTCATTTTGGACTTATCTTATCAGCAATTAATATGACCCACCTGGCGATGTCTGCATATGTTAGCTCAGACTTACAGAAACGCACAATATGGCCAGCCTAGGATAAGGGTGACAAATAAAGAAAATAGAGACCATAATCTTTTCTTGCATGATCAAAGTATATGTTTGTCTTCTTTATTTTCCTCTTTGTGCCTGCAAGCACAATGATTTATAGCTTATTTATTTGAGCATTTCATTTCCTCATATACTTTATACTTTATGTTCCTTTTAAGTGTCATATAAGAAGCTGGAGAAGATAACTTTTTTTACTTATATTTTTGTAAATTGACTTACCTGTTGGGGTCTGTCATTTCCCCAGGTTTTTCACAAACGGATGCCTCCAGAAGCAATAGACCTTGCTTCCAGGTTGCTGCAGTACTCTCCAAATCTCCGTTGCACAGCAGTGAGTTTCATCTCTCTTTTCTCCAAATTTCATTAATTTTTTGTTAGTATAATCTAATATTTTGTTAAAGAAATAGTATCCGATAATACTTGATTTCATGCTAATGTTAGAGTATCCTGTGATGTCGTCTACAAAAATATTATTGTTTATCTAGACTGACTAGATGCTTCTGATTGCAGCTGGAAGCCTGTGCCCATCCTTTCTTTGATGAGCTGCGGGAACCTAATGCTAGATTACCGAATGGTCGCCCGTTGCCTCCTCTGTTTAACTTCAAACAGGAGGTAGTTGCATTTGCATTACATTTTCTTGTTTTGCCAATTGAAAGGAACAAATCCATTTGCATTAGTACTGCAAGAAAATCTTTAGGCTACATTTGGATTGAGGAATTTGAAATCCCTTGATTTCGACTTATTTGAAACTTAAATTTGCTACTTTCAAACTCCTTGAATGAATTTGTGGAAAAGATTATAAATCCATTGTCTAGCTCGCATCGATGGTGTTGGCTCGCTGTGGTGATGAAAATTCATACTCGCGGACGGTGTAGTCGTCAATGATGGGATAAACAGTGGATTTCAAATGACTAGGTTTTAGGAGTCATTTAAAATCCTTCAAAATAATGACTAAAGACTATCTGGCATGAGTTGAAATCCTCCAACTTCTATTATTATCCGAATATGTTCAAATCCCTCGATCCAAACATATCATTAAATGAATTTGAGGTATAGAGCTGGTTGTTGGTCCGAAATTGTTTTCTGAATGCAGAAGAGTTCTTTTATGTCTGAACAGAAGTGGTATTTGTGCAAATTTTACAAATTTAAAGATATGGCAATGCAAACCTTCTGCTTGAAACGAGATTTTGATTCTCTTTCAAATGGATGTGACTTCAGCACACACACACCCACAATTCTGAAATATATTACCTTATTTATACTTGTGGGTTTTCCTGGTTGTAGTTGTCTGGCGTGTCCCCAGATCTCATCAACAAGCTGATACCAGACCACGTGAAGAAGCAATTGGGTCTGCATTTTTTGGCATCCTACGAGGACATGACGTGAAAATATTGTGATCCTGTGAAGTAAATAGTGCTAGTTGATGATGGTTTAAAGGTACATGATGAGGTCGTCTCTATAAATCAACCTCAAACCATGGGGTTAGCCCGACCAGCTTCATCTCTTGAGCTCTCATGTTGACCAATGAGTAGAAAGGGCACCTCTGGGTTTTTTATTTTGTACCTGCTGTTTTGTTTTTTGTTTTTTTGTTTTTTATTTTTTTTTTCCCTTTTCCACACGATTTTGCCTGCTCATCTGTGAGCAGCAGGTTACAAGGAAAGAGGGAAAGATATCCCTGTTTTGTGTATATGTTGTTGGTTGCAGACAAGAAAGCATGAATGACACAAAGATATAGGGAGTGTATGAACGAATAGGATAAATGACGATGTCCGAAGGAGCAAACCAGACCCCAAATGGTGGGTTTGGTTTTTTTTTGTTTTTCTATTTTTGTATCTGCTTCTCCTTTGTTTCAATGTGTTACTTGTAAGACTTTACGTACTGCTATAAGCTATTCCGTAATGTTATGGCTGAAGTTACGACGAATTGCTTCTCTTTCAACATGGATCTCCTGTGTTCTGGTGTAGCAGATTTGAATTTATAAGTCTCCATAGAATTATAAAACTTTCTTAAAATTAGATATAATTCTTAAAGTGCTTGTTCAATCTCGAATGCTAAGGGGGTGTTTGTATATAAAATAATTTAATTCATATCAATCAATACTCAAAATTTAATTCAAGTTTAACTCAATCTTATTATCTTTAATATTATCAATACAACTAAATAATACTAATTTACTATTTATCCACTTGCATAATTTTAATTATCTATTTTTTCGCATCATTTTCTCTACATTTACATCAAATAATTTTTCATTATTTTATTTAGATATTATTTTAGCATAAATACAAAATTTCATTAACAACTAATTATACGATCCTTTTCAAAATTAATCACAGTTAACAAAAAACTCATTTTAATTGGATGTATTTGTATCCAATCAGGCCCTAATAGTGAAGCTTGGGAAACAGAAACAAGTGTTGCTTGCAGTCTCGAAAATAGTAGCTTCAGTCAAATATAATTGTGTTCATGACGTGTCCAACAAGAAGTTGGAGACATTAATTAATAGTTACTAGTTAGTTAAATGTTTATTCATTAGTCAACTTCTCGAGTTCTTTTTTTTTTTTTTTT